CCCGGTCTAGGTAGGGTTAACGGCCTCCATCTCCACGATCCCAATCTGGGAGAAGAGTTGTCATTTAAAACTTTTGGTCCAACACAAAAAATTTCTCTTGCTAGAGCTTTTGACCAGTCACTCTGGTCTTCCTCAGTAGACTGACCCAATGAGGCTTGTCACGTGGCTTCTTTGAAGTGTGACGTCAACACTGAAAACAAAGAAGCCACGTGACGAGTTTTCATTGGGTCAGTCTACTGAGGAAGACCAGAGTGACTGGTCGAAAGCTCTAGGTGAGAGACCAAAAGTTGGACCAAAAGTTTTAACTCTAAACATGTAACTACCAACACAGATGAACTTTCATGACAGTAGTTATCATTATTATTTTATCATTATTATTTATTTGTTTCAGACACTCATTGGTCCATAGTTAGGCAGTATAGGAACAAAACCTAAGTACTGGTACATACAAAAATCAAATCCTATATATACAGACGTATCCAGAGGTTTGTGAAGTATGAGTTGCCATAGAAGGAATATGAATAATAATAATATTGTAGACTCTATTCATAAGAACGACTTAATAAACCATGCAGAAACAAGTTTAAAAATGTAATTGAAATGCACCGCGTTTAGAGTCCATTCCGCGTCACCGTGTGGGTTGTTATTGTCATTATTTAGAAATGTTTTGAATTCTTTGTAATTGTTTGTCTAAGAAATTTCATAATTTGGAAATATTTTGAATACCTTTTCAACATTCTAAATAATTCCCTAGAGTACTCTAGTTTTTCTAAAACGTTTAAAATATTCCTGATGTGCAAAATGACATTTCCAATAGTTTCTAAATATTTCTAACAGCACTCGACCATTTTTTACCATTATTTCGAATTATTTCTAACATTTTGTACATAGGTCAGTGGGATGGGAAGGAAGTAATTCACACATCCCTGTGAAGTACAGGGTAGACTGCCTGGGCGTCAGGTATTGATGCCTTACAACAAAAGAGCCACCAGTGCCCAGCAGTGAAATCTAAAAATATACAGTAGAAGACATAAGAGTCGGATTAGCACCTACTTTTATGGGGGCAATTAACCACATCTACCATTTCGTTATTTGTTTGAAATATTTCTAAATATTTCGAATAATGAAAAACACATGGGTAGTTCAAATTTATTCTAAATAAAGAGATCTTTGTAAAGCCACTTTCAAAATGTTTCATAAATATCTAAATGAATTCAAATATATTCAAATTTTCATTTTCAAGTTTTTTTAAAAATTTAGAACTTTTGTTACTGGGGTATTCTTTTCTTCTAAATAATTCAAAAGTATTACAAACATGGAGAAAAAACCCACACGGTGACGCGGAATGGACTCTATTGATTAATACCATATCAAAATGTATGAATACACTTTCCACTAGGCTGACGTTGTTTGTCTCTAGTCAAAAGATAAAAATACTGTAATTGATTTATTAACGGTCACTTAATTTTTGCGACTTTAGCGGTTACTATTCCATAAGTATCCATTCCTCACTGAAAAGGCTTAGACCACAGCAAGTGATTTTTATGGATGACATCAGCGCGCATTAATTTTCGGCTGATTTTGGAGAAAGAAAAACAAGAAATTTTGTTGCCTTCTGACAGTGGTCAACATGCCGGAAATAGACCAAGATGTCTGTTGCCATGCCAGAACGTGGATGCCAGATAAATATGAAGAAAGGAGACAAGACAAGGCTCTGATTTAATGTTTGGTAATTAATTTTAGTACTGAATCAAAACCATTTGTACAATGATTGAGTCAAAAATTTAAAATGCTTTTTTCCGGCCCGTCTTGTTTTTTTTTTCGCCCGCTCGCATTAGATTTGTAGTCTGCGGAGGATGTCATCCATAAAATTTACTTGCTGTTGCCTTAGGAAATTTTGGACTAATTTACCGTGACCATTGGGATAGCCAGGCCTAGAACGTACACCAGCCAGGTTGGGAACTGTTCCTTCTTGGCTGGGAACGAGAGCGTGACGTCATCACAGTAAAACAGACGGTCGGCTGGCTCCACGACGTGCGTCTTCACCAGTACAAGGGGAAGGGCAACTGATGACATGCCACACATACAACGAAGAGAGACGCAAATTAATGCAGATGATAAAATCTAAGACTACTAAATCATTACCCAACACATCTATAGAGAGACGTTCCATGTACTTATGTCATGTCCAGACACATTTTCTGTATATCTAGGCCAATACATTTATAATGCTATGCAAAAAAGGGATATCTTAGAATAATTGTATAAGTAGAGTCATCGAATACTTTATTAACTACATGTATATAGTATAGCGTATCGTAGCATTTATATGTAGAATTGTAACATTCCTGGCAAGTAATTTAGTCGACACTCTGTTAAGTAGTCATAGAACATGTTTTGTACAGGTACAACTGCTCACTGTACCCTTCATAAGTATAGTGTAGCGTAATGTAGAACGTACGTGTAGAGTTGAAATACTTCCTAGCCAGTAGTTCTTTATAACACTCTGTCAAACACAGTAACCGTTGACCATATATGTAGCATTATCATAGACTCATACCAACTAGTAAGTTTATCATTTGCCATACATTGTACCCGTGCAATCGTTGTGCAATAAACTTTGACTTGACTTGTATGCAAACACATTTCAAAGGAAAATCAGTCTATTGATTGCTTATCAATGAGCATCAATGACTATATATTTCATAAATAAATACCGTTGGGTTTGGGACAATGGGTTCCTCGCTACAGAAACGCATGAGGGGGTATGCCTGATTTCATGTATTAGAACATTTTCGTCATCATTTCTTACCTGCAGCGTTTGAAATATCCCCCAAAACAAGCTACGTGAGGAGTCCATTATTTAGGGAACCTTCACTGACCTTTGACTTCTCTCACCAGTTTTTGAGTTGCGTCAAGAACATTATACATAGGTAAAATGTCCTTGGCTGCGTTTTAAATTTCTGTTAATCAGATAGATATTTGGTTATATAACCTGTTGTACAGTTGACTTATATTACTTTAATTGCTAATGTGTTTTTCAGCTCAGTTTATATTAGTCTTGTGTTAATACTATTGTATTACTTTATTATATTCCGTTGTTATGTTTTGTATTACATTGATTTAGATGGACTCCAGGAAGATTAGTAACCTGGGTACTCGTACATATGGCCGTTTCAAACAGAAAGTGGTGGTATTAAGCGAAAGGTTTCTACAGGCTTTTCCAACTATTATGTTCTGAATTACAAGGATGATTTTTGTGACTTTTGTAACAATTTTTGTAACTTGTTTTCAGGAAGACCTTGTAACTTTGTAGTGAATAGTTTGCTACAGTCATTGAGTGACTTAAGATGATACCCTTTTGGATATATGTGTTTCATTACTTTATCTAGAATCCTTCATCTGTTACAATTGGGCAAGTCTGCGTGATCTCAAAAGTAAAGTGTAGACATTAGTCTAGACATTTGTCCAAAATTTTTTATTGAAAATTTCAAACCACCAAGCAAGATAAATCCATTTAACCTCTTATAATTACACACGTTGTCTTACTTGAGCTTTAGTCACCACTCTTTTTCTGTATAGCCGGTATACCGGTAACAACCCTTCGGTGTAACACACCAGCTTCAGCACACAGTACAGCGGTAGCTAGCAATATTACACCGAACGACCAATCCCACCTTATCTTTGTACATCTGAGCATATTATTCTCACGGTCTATCTCAACCGTCAGCAGTCTTCTATTCTGAGCCTGACACCTACAGCACTTCAGTATAAGATCCAAAAAAATGACATGTGACAGTTCGTATATTGGTGTTTGGTACATCAGAAAAACTGTTTGATCATGATTATGTTTATGTTTACAACTCCATTGCTTCCGTTGATATCTTCAAAGCCGTAAAATTTTGTTCAGTTCCTCACTCAACTCAACTCAATTTGACATTGTGATGCAATGTTTCTCCTGCATGTATTACGCTATCCGGTCAGCGAAGCTGTCGAGTGTCTGGATGAATAAAGTAGAATGTCTGCATCTCCCCACTGCATACGTATCCTGCCATCCAGTATTCCCTGCGGCCACCTTCTCTGAATTTGCCTTCCCAGTAGATCAATGCACCATTCCGTATATACCTCATTTCCCTTTGCGCCTCTGCATACGCACTCCGACAAGTATGTAACACCCCCAAGGCAGCATAAGAACAATGGATGTACAGTATTTAATTGTTCACTTGCTCTAAAGCAGAAGCTGCTCAGAAATATGCCTGAGTGAGTAGCATTGTCTGCAGGAGTTGATAAAGTTGCACTTTTTCCTAGTAGGCCCTAGCCGACAAAATTCAGCTTTAAATTCATCTTTTCAATTTGACCCTGCCAGATGCAGATAACACATGAATCAAGGAATTCTACATGCCTGACTTAGATATTTGAGGGCTGTGTATGTGCAATTTTGCAATCAACATCATGAAAAACGAGCTAAATAAGAACAGCTCTGGAAGATCTATAAATTTGTTGAGCTGTAGTTTCAAAAAAGTTGACTGAGTACATGTATGCTATAAACTCAGGTGGTTTCTGACGTTTGTTTCTTCTGTGCATCAGACAGCTCTAGATCTGGTGCCACTTTGAGCAGGTTCTTCACATAGTTGTACTTCTCAACAGATTCAATGTTTGCCTTGAAAAAAGCATGCATCAAGCAACTGTCATTGAAATGAAGACACTGAATCCGAGATGATTGTGCTCCTTTTGTTGACTTATCTTGACTCTTTACTAAAGGCTGTCCTTCAGGCTGGTTGCTATCTTCAATGCTAGTGCCAGTATTAACGTTGATAGTGTGAGCCTTACTTGCACGTTGTGATTGTGCTTCTTTTGGTGTTGCATTTTGGCCCTGAGCACCTTGTGTTGCCTCAGGCTTCTTAATGCCAATCTCAGCAAATGGGTACTCCTCAGCACCTTTATGAAGTATAACTACATTAGTCAATATAATCAACACATTCATCCCAAGCAGAACCATATTTGTAACCCATATGAATTGATGTACTGCAGCTGTAGGCACTGTGCAAGTTACTGAAAATTTCTCTTCCACAGAACATGGGAATGTGTCTTTAATGTTGTCGATAGATTTGAGTTGGATTCTGTGGTAAAGGAGGAACCCCACTGAAATGACAATTGACACTGCTTGCTTGATCACATACCATTTGTACATAGTATACTCTGCTTTCCATTGCTTTTCTGCTGCTAATAACTCCTCTTGCCCATACACTTTAGCTAACTTCTGCTGAGCATTTTTTTGTACACCTCCCTGGGCTCCCATTCCCTGTCCACTAGCCTGAACTTGGCCTTGTACTTGTGCACCTCCCTGGGCTCCCATCCCCTGTCCCCCAGCCTGACATTGGCCTTGTACTTGTGCACCTCCCTGGGCTCCCATCCCCTGACCGCCAGCCTGAACTTGGTCTTGAGTACTTTGTTTCCTAAATCGGTCATAGAGCACTTCCATATCATGTGCTATGAATCTTACAATACTTATGATCTCCTTGCCTTTAGTTACATTCCATATCAGAAATGGTGCATACATTACGCCTGCTTGAACCACCAGCATCATGGCAAAGAACTGATAACTATTAAACACTGTGTTTTCAGGAAAGGAACTCTTTCCTGCACAGTAAGAGTTCACAAAGTCAGAAAGTTGCCTGGTGTAAGAAGATACACCACTGAATGCATTGCTGGTTGAGCTGTCATCAGACATGAAGGTACCATTCTGGGGTTGGACCGGAACATGTACAAGATCCAAGGGAAAGCACTGGATACTGGATCCTAAAAAAAGAGAACATATAATAAATATATTGTCTAGAAAAATAGCAATCAAATATATAAGTTTTAACAATAATTACAGGCCTGGACTACAGTGTGTAGTTCAATACTGATAAGTGATATTATACAATGTACAACTTACAGTAACTGACCTGTGCAGTAAGTTGAAGGTTACAACTGTCAATTGACTCTGTCAGTATTGTAGGCTAAATTGGCACAGTGCTGTTTTGCAAATGGGTCTCAGACTCTGACACAATTAAATTATCCATCATGAATTATTAATTATTTGGAGGTTGGCCAAAATTTAATGCTTTACCCTGTAATTCAGCTTTCAAATGTACTTATCACACGTTGCAAACTTGCTGCTGTAAAATGTCAGATGATATTAAATTTGACAAATTAGACCACAGCAATACAAGCATGATGTTTACCTAGAAAGCCCCGCCCAACCAGGACTGTAGACATTAGGACTGGAAGCCAACAGGAGATGACTTTGGAGAAATGGTCACCCCACAACTCTGCATGCAGACGAACTGGGTCTGTCATCACCCCCAAACCCTGATCAAGGATGCTGGTGATCATCTTTATTCTTTGTGTGCTTCAGTTGTTCAAAATAACGTATACATGTATGTAAGCCCCTTTCTGCATATACATGTAGTTACATGTATTGATAATGGTTTATTACATAACCGTAATAGAATCTATTATTAGCTTAGAGTTTGATGTACTTAAAGTTGAACAAATTCAGTCATTAATTCAGCAATCAAATACTTTGAAAAACTTCCTATGCATACTAAGAGAACAAAGGGCTGTTTGTACAAAGGGACCAGTGTCCAAGGTATTGCATATAATGAGGTAACCCTACCTGACTGTTGAATTCTCTTCTTGTTCAGAGAGCCGGAGGAATTAGTATGTGAATTAACAAAATTTATGAAGCTAGAAAAGCTAAAGTTAGTTCTGCCAGGATCTCCCCTAGCCTGACTGTTCAATCTTTGAGTGAAAATGAAAGTTTTTTAATACATGTACATTGTAGTCCGTGCCTGAGTCAGCACAAAGGTAAGCATGCTAAAGGTCAACACTGACACAGCACATAAGCATGCAACCGACTAACGGTAAACAACTACATTGTAAGATCATAGCTCTTTTTTAGCACCAAATGTTTAACCTATGATGGCAACCAAGAAGAGACTGGACCAACCAAAATTTCTTATTGATTTTGCCTGGTCCTGTTGACATTCAGCTTATTACTCGGAGTTCCTTTTCTTCATAGTTGCAGGAACTACGTATTACCTGAAAAAGGTGTGTTTCAGATGGGGATGGATATGGGTGGTGAAGCGGTGCCACGTAGCGCGTACCGAACATGGCTGCCGTAGGTGCAGCAGGAAGTTTTCCGGCTCCAAAAGACTGACTTGGCCTGTAGATGATTTCTTGAAGAGCAAACATCTTAATGAGGTAAGAAAAGATATTTTCATGAATTTCTTGATCATACTGTGAGAGAATCAAATGTTGAATTACATAGTATGTAAAATCTTTTAGGGTCATTCTCATGCACAGGTGGACTCATGGTACAAAGTCCACCTGACATAAAGGTCCATTCAATTCTTTGAGAGACTCAATTCTTTGTCACGAGTGGCATTTACCATATTATTTAAGTAAACAACAGCAAGCATATGTCATTGAGTGAGAGACTAATTCATAGGCATGATTATTATAAGTAAAAACTTGTACACAAGTTCAGACATATACCACTCAGCTCAACAGTATATATAACGGCTACAATGTTGCATGACCACACCTTAGCAGTAAAAGTACACATCAATTTGTATGTGGCCATGTATTTTATAAAAAAAAAACTGTTGGCTATCAATAGAGAACTTTATCATCAGACAAATTAACTAAAGGTGATTGGCACCTGTCGGTCATTCTGTGATTGTGGCATTAGACTATTTGTTAGTTGGTTAATTATGTTATTTATATAGGTCATAAAATGACCGAATCTAATGTACATTGTACATACTATTAGCTTAAGTCATGTGCCCACGTCATGTACGCCGCCATATATATAATGTAAATTATGTTATTTATCACATTTTTATGACATTACTAGACAGTTCCAACGTTAGACATTTTGAGTGATCATGTTAATGCCTGGTTTAAATTTGGTAAAAATGAAAAGCTAATATAAATACATAATTGTAATCTAAAAGTAAGAACTGTTTCTTATTTCCTTTTCAGTCAAAGAAGGTTACAATGTAGTTGGTGTTGCTACATGTATCTCAAAGAACTAGATATAGTTTGAAAACAATTTGCCTTTTCATTCTTTCAGGCACAACAACCATGAACAGGTTTCAACTTGGTAAAAAAAGCAAGAAACCAACTACACCCAGCCATTCTGGGTCAAACTCTACAGAACAAAGTGTCAGTGCATTTGCAAGCAAGATAAGTCCAGATGCTGAAGGTAAGATAATTAATATGCTAGAATTCCAGAACGTGATGCCTTTGCCAAACTTGCCATGTTTTTATCAGTTTGACAGTCTTATCTTTAAGTTAGCAAAGAGAACATTTCCTCCTTGCATAAATTATGCAAATGAGATCTTCCAAACATACCAACGTACAAAAAGCTGCAATCCATTTAAGATCATTGTATGGAAACACAAATGAAAACAACAATCATGAAAGGGGTGCTACGTGTAAGTGTAACGTAAATGAAAAGAAACCAACAGTTGCTGAAAGACAGATGAAAAAATGTCCAGACTATGCATGATGTCCAAATTGACCAATAAAGCAGCCCAGAAAAGAATAAAAACAGTCATGCCTACTCATGCCTAATCAAATATGAGAGTTATCAACCAAGAATTGAGGAGTTCAAAAACTCCAAAGCTCTAAACAACTAGAACGCTCTATAGAACTGCAGTTACATGTAGATGACTACTTTCTTTGATGAATACTAGACTGAGTAGATTAAGTGACTATACCTAACAAGATGTTCGATGTTACATATTATAGCTAGCTGCCTCCGTGCGACATGCCTGTGAAACTGGTGTGTAATGCCCAAGGGCAATTCTACCAGCTATACCAAATTGAATACAGAATATCTGATAGAGATAGGAACCAACTTGAGCTTGTCGTATGAGTAGAGTAGATTCTGAATCATTCATCCTCATTGATCATCTTCTATGATCTGCCACTATGTCTGTTGAAGACTTTCTTTTTAGTAAAGCTACATGCACATAACTTTCTTCATTGGACAGCACTGTCTAAGAAAAATTCAGATCTCTTTTTTTTAATTAGTGCATAATGATGTAGATTTTTACTGCTCTTATGTACATAAAGTATTATTCTGTTTAACAGTTCAGGCACCGTTGCAGAACACTGTCGTGACAGCTACAGCAGCTACAGAAGAAAGCCAGGTGAAAACAGGTATTACAGATTACAATTTTTTCATGCTTTCAACATCCCTATTGAAACTATTATTGGTCGTGTTTCTGGTGAATTAATTCATGTCATAGTTTGTAGCTCTTCCAGGAGAAACTTACAACATTTAGTTCTGGAAAAATTCTACATGTAATTAAAATAAACTACATTTGTACATATCTAACTTATATTATTTCATCTATATGGCACACAATAAAAGATACACCTTTTGTTTGACAAATTTTGTTGTTTTGAGATCAAATTCTCCCCACTATAATAATAATTATTTTACATATTAGATTCTAGGACAACCTTAAATGGAGGCATTGAAATACAATATCATGTATGGCTTACACAATTATATTATAAAAAAAAACAGACAGCAGTATTTTAAATCTACTAAGACTATGGAAAAATGCAGCTTACTAACAACTAAATATCATAATTTTATGATATATATTATGTCCCATCAATAAAACGACTGACTGAATTTGACTGACTCTGACTTGTGTTTACATCTCATATTCCAGACATCCCAGATCCCCCAGATCCCCCTAAAGGATTTCAAGTTGTAGATACTTCAACTGACTTTATTAAGTTGAAATGGGCAAAGGTTACTTCAAAGCAGATTTATGGCTACCGCCTGGAACGTTCCATTGCATTTCAAAACAAGTGGAGCAGAGCACATCAACAACATGTATTATCAGCTCAAACCACTAGCTTCCAAGTCGGGAAGGTAGTTCCTTATGAGGCATATGATTTTTGTGTAAAATCAGCAGCACTTGATGATAGCTCTGGTACGCTTCTCTACAATGGTGGACCCAAACTGCGCAATGTCATCGCAAAGGGGAAAGGTTGGTATATTCACATATTACTATCATTATGAAACTTTGATTAATTGTATGATGATTGTATCCTTTCAATGTAAAAAAAATATCTAAGAAATTCCTTGAACTATTTTGGAGTTACATGTACTGCATAATGCCAGGCATCATGTAGCTCAAAAATAAATATACATGGTTGTATGATACATTTTTCTTTTTTTTTTTCAAATTCTCTTAGACAGCTTGACACAAAAAGTTAACTTTGAAACCTTGATTACTATCAATCATATCTCCATGTAAATGGTATTTATCTAACTATACAAAATACAATTCTTGTATTACACATTTATCATTGGGATGTTTATTACCTCCGGGGAAGGAGACATCCTTTTGGGTGGATGGATTCTTTTGGGACTCGGTATATGTTTTGCTATTGGGCTGTATATGATGCACGTTCTTTTGTTTTTATTGCATATGTTTTCTGGCGTGAAAATGGTGCCTTTTGGTGGCCCCTTGAAGTGTGAAAATGGTCGCGACCATTGACCTTTGGCATGTGTAAGGTATTAACGGTCCGGTCCACGAAGCCGACCCCTCGCACAGAGAGGTGTTCGGTCTCAAAAATTCTTTGTTTAAAACCCTAGTCCTGCGGTGCGCAACAATTGTTGTGCACATGCATCTTCTGTATGTGAGGCGCAACAATTGTTGTTTGGAGGGTATTTTTAGTAGTACTACGCATTCACAGGACGCGTGATAGGCAACTTACGGGTGGGCCAATGGGTCAGGGGTCAACGTACTCTTGTGCAATCTTTGTTTTGGATGCTTTTGGTGTATACATGTATTACATCTTCTAACTTACAAATACCGCGGTATAGGGTCTCAGACATTCTCAACATGCATTTTTAATGAGGATTCAGACCTTTGCACTACTTCACCGATTTATACGAAGAATCGGCGGAAAATGGAGGAAGTGACAATGAGGATGGCTTGCACATGCGGGAAGCTACTTCAGCTGTAAAGTGTTATTTCTAACGTCTAATAAATTTAACGGTTCCAGTTGTCATTCTGTGATTCATTACAAGTTCCTTGCGGCAGATTAAATAGAATTTCATAAGTTCGTGGGTACATGTTATGGACTGCAGATGAAAATGTTGACCTGTGTTAACACAACCTGGAACGCTAAATCTAAAACATAGAATTCAATACCATCAAACAACATATAAAAATATACAATAAAAAGCCTGGAGGTATAAAATCTCAGATTTTACTTGTTTTAGTACTGCCTTTTGTAATGATATCCCATAAGGACTGTTCATTCATGGGTTTATAGGCAATTATTTTATAATAGGTTGCAAAAGATGGGGAAGCGGAAATCCATAATGGTTTCTTTCATTGTGTGCTATATTTTGCCATTTCCTCAATCTGCAATGATACCGGTACCTTTTTGTACAATCAAGTCACAGAGGTGACTGACTCCATGTGTATGCCACCCAAACAAGGTTCCAAAATTCTCCTTCCAACATCAAACAATGTACACTGGCATATCTCTAGTGTTTGATCTTTGATCATTGCAAAAATGGTAATTTCTGACTGTAAAGCATTTCAATGATACACATGTACATTGATCATACTATCATGTGACTAATTACTAGTAACTGAGATATAATTGGGCAAAGTTAAGTTTCTAAACTTTTTGTGTTCAAAATCATTTTTATTATGATTAATATACATGTGTGTGTGGTCACAATGACTGACAATGACATTATGTTGTTTCATGGACTGAAATTGTGTATTTCCAGATCAACCATTCCCACCAAGAGACGTTAAGGTAAAAGAGGTCAAAGAAGAGTCTGTGTCACTGACTTGGCTGGTGCCTGAACCAGATAACAGTCAAGTCACTTGCAAATACGTTGTTGAGATGTGCAGTGACTATACTGACAGCAAGATCCTAAATACATGGGAGGAATGCTCAAACAGTCCTACAACAGAATGTCAGTGTACAGTCAAAGTTCAGCACAACGGAAACTACCGCTTTCGTGTGAAAGCCCTTAATAGCGACAAGCCAGAGGTCAGAAGCCTTCCACAGGAAATGGGTGAGTCCTGATTATTACCAGAGGTTTATTCATTAGTACTTTGGTTAATGGTATATTGTGGTGTGAACATATCTATGATGTACTTTTTGTCATTTTGAAAGCATTACTGCTATGTGATTTGTACAGTTACAGAATGATGATATGTGTGCCTCAATATTCATATTGTCAATTTTATCTATTTATTGATCTTAAAAACAGTTGGGTGGTACCTTCAGTTTAGGACAACTGATTTCCAAGGTAGCCCAACAGAACAAGTTACAAAGGACATAGACAATCAAATAATTAAACATAGAGATAATAAATAATACAAACAAAGAGTACAAGTAGTCAATCATTATAAACAAGACATGTTAACCAAAACAAATAGTCAAAATCATAATCATAAGGCATAATCATAGTCCGTGTCATTCCAGTCCAAAGATAAGTCAGTCCATGAGGTCAGGGGTCATGTGTTTAGTGCTCTCTTAAAAGCATTCAATGTGGTTGCTTGTTTAGTTTCATCATTTAACAAGTTATAAGATGCTGCTGCTCTATACTTAAATGTTCTCTGTCCCACTCTGTTTGTGTATCATGATGTCTGTTTTGCAGGTGACCCAGAGGTACGTATCCATATCAAACAGAGGAATACAGAAAGGGGATTTCTGGAACAATTATTAAGACTCTGGAATTTCTTTGGTACAACACCCGAAAGGCAGGAAGACGGGAGCATCATCTTTGTCATCTCCTGTCAAGACATGAGTGGACTGCGTGAACTGTGGATGAACTACAACCTGGGGAAACTGAAGGAGTTCTTCCAAGATCTGTTTGCCCAAGAGCACTACTGCCCTGCTTCTGACCTAACAAACAAAGAACTTGACATTAAAATTGACCCTGAGGATTTCTATGCCTGCCGCCGACATCTTCTGTTGACTTGTCCCAACAGCAAAGGGTTCAGGGTTCTGAAAGTTGGGGATACTTATTCCAGAGGTAAGGCTATCATACTCTAACGAGCAGTTCAGTAAGATTGCTACTGTAACAGCAATACAATAAAATCTGATACAATTTTGTAAACAAAATCATTTACACACAACTTAAGAGCGAATGTCTGTAAGGATCAAACAATGGTGGCAGGGGTCAAAAAATCGATTTGGCTCAAACTTTGCACAGTGATAGTACTTGGCCCACAACCCCTCAAAATAGCTTTCTTTCCGGTCAGCACCGATCGTTGCCATGGTAACGGGCCAAACAAGTTTCGGGGCCATTTTCCCTGATTTAGACATGTGAAAAACATGAAATTTGGCATAGTTTAAGGCACGATTACGAGCAAGTGCTTTGATATTATGGAAAAACAAAGTATGGGCCTAAAAGACCAACTTATCCGCTATTCTAGAATAGCTTTGAAATTTTCAAGAAGTTCGTTTAAAGGACCTGGGCAACCCTAACACAATACAGTATTTGAGGCTTCTGAAAACGCGTTATTTCTGCCCAACTTCGAAGTGCTGTAAGTCCAAAGATGGTGATTTTTTTTGCTTCAACTTTGAATCATAGATACATAAACATATGTGCTATAAATTGCATGGTTGCAAAGTTTGGGCACTTCTTTGGGCCGGGACCGAGGGCAATGCGGAATACACCGTGTTGTATTTTATTTATATCATACCCACCCAAGAAAACGCGCCTTTCAATGCAATATGAGCCAAAAGTTGGTGCCCCTAAACCCTCAAATGCAACAACATCAGTTCCAACGTCCGGATTCTGTATTCGAATTTTCGAAAGGGGCACAAGCGGGTAGGGAGAAACACGTTCGAATCGTTTTATGGAAGCCATGGAAGCGTTCGATAACGGGTTCCGGACCGGGCCGTACCGTAAAGTATGGCCCGGTCCGGAACCCGTTATCGAACGTTATCGCGGCTCGGGTATGATATAAATATATATATAGTGTATCAAATGAATACTTGTGGAGGTTGGGGTCTTGTGTCGTTGGTGTGCACTTGTCCCTAAAAGTAGGCCGTATTTTGGACATGTACAGATATTAGCAAAACGGCTATGTTTGAAGGTCTAGAAATTACGAAGTAGGATGTCATTTTAATTCAATCTTTTAAGAGGAGTACATATATGTATTGTGTATCAAATAAGGGCTTGTGGAGGTTGCGGCCTTGTGTCGTTGTTGTATATTTGTCACTAAAAGTAGGCCATATTTTAAACATTTACAGAAATAGGCATATACGACATAAACAAAAAAGGAAGCCCTCCAAATCACCCATGTGATACTAGTAGTCAATACTAGAATAAATACATGGTAGAAGGATGAGTCTGAAAATAAATTCACTTTGGTATTTTCATCAGCTCAAAAACAGCCCAAAATCCAAATTTGGGGACAAGTGCGGAAAATGACCTACTTCGAGGTTGCCCAAAGACTGAAATCTGCCTGTACATCAACTTTACACCTATTTCGTACAAGTTAATGTATCGGTCTAATAATATCCTGAAGTTACGTTAAAGCAGTTGGCGATGACCGCGTCCTAAATTTTCGTGTTGTAGAGACGCAAAAATCTGTCATAATGGCCCCAAAACTTGAATGGGCTGTTGCCATGGCAACAATGGGTTTTGAGCGGAAAGAAAGTTATTTCAAGGGGTTGTGGGCCAAGTACTATCACTGCACAAAATATGAGCCAAATCGATTTTTGACCCCGCTCACTATTGTTTGATCCTTACAGACTTTTGCTCTTAAAAATGGCCTACTTTTAGGGACACAAGACCCCAACCTCCACAAGCCCTTATTTGATACACAATACATATATGTACTCCTCTTAAAAGATTGAATTCAAATGACATCCTACTTTGTCATTTCTAGACCTTCAAACATAGCCGTATATGCTAATTTCTGTACATGTCCAAAATATGGCCTACTTTTAAGGACAAGTGCACACCAACGACACAAGACCCCAACCTCCACAAGTATTCATTTGATACACAATACATATATGTACTTCCCTGCAAAGATTGAATTCAAATGACATCCTACTTTGTTATTTCTAGAGCTTCAAACATAGCCGTATATGTCAATTTCTGTACATGTCCAAAATATGGCCTACTTTTAGGGACAAGTGCACACCAACGACACAAGAACTCAACCTCCACAAGTATTCATTTAATAGACAAGACATAGTGTTACTTTGGGCAAAAGACTTTATCAGATTGCTTTCTTTCTTTTGTACATGTAGTACCCTGAACATGGCTGAAAATCATATTTCCCCTCAAATTCAAAATTTGACCTATTTCTAAGGACAACCAAGTGACAACCAAAGAAGTGCCCAAACTTTGCAACCATGCAATTTATAGCACATATGTTCATGTATCTATGATTCAAATTTGAAGCAAAAAAAATCACCATCTTTGGACTTACAGCACTTCGAAGTTGGGTAGAAATAACGCTTTTTCAGAAGCCTCAAATACTGTATTGTGTTAGGGTTGCCCAGGTCCTTTAAACGAACTTCTTGAAAATTTCAAAGCTATTCTAGAATAGCGGATAAGTTGGTCTTTTAGGCCCATACTTTGTTTTCCATAATATCAAAGCACTTGCTCGTAATCGTGCCTTAAACTATGCCAAATTTCATGTTTTTCACATGTCTAAATCAGGGAAAATGGCCCCGAAACTTGTTTGGCCCGTTACCATGGCAACGATCGGTGCTGACCGGGAAGAAAGCTATTTTGAGGGGTTGTGGGCCAAGTACTATCACTGTGCAAAGTTTGAGCCAAATCGATTTGTTGACCCCTGCCACCATTGTTTGATCCTTACAGACATTCGCTCTTAAAACCCAGAAGTTGAATGACATACATGTAAAAACATTAATTTTATCTCCCATGGTTGTCATATCAATATTTTGTATAATCTATAATTCATCAGCATGCACAAAGCTGGGACTAAGCGAGGATTACCCAGTCCACTGCAAACCAGTACTGCAAAGGACAGCCTTCTCTGAGCTTGACTTCTTGGACCTTGCAATAACCGTCAAGAAATCAACAGGTACGTGACAGAATAAGCATACTTAAAGAAAGATTTATAAATCTGAATTAAAATAGGATCAAAACAAACTTGAAATTAGAGATTTTAGACTTCTATAAGGAAGCATGTAACTGTCCAGGGCTATATTTAAGGAAGCCAATCAGTAGGAAGCGACACTCAAAGTCGGTACTTAGAAATAATAGAAAAATAGAAAAATTTGTGCCTGCAATATACTGAGTTGAAATAATGAACATGGCTCTTCTATTGCAATGGCTGCTATAGTTCAAATTGTGTGATGAATGCTTTTCTTATTATGAAAATGCCATGCCATACATTAACAAAATATTTTACATTCTAGGAGTGAAACCAAGCTCAACTACATGTGGGACAGTGGAAAGATCACCTGGAATAATGAGGTATGAACATGATAACTGCAATGTACTTGTAGATTCTTGTAACAATAATATGTAAAATTATGTAATAACTAGACTACACATGTAAGTTTGCCATATATTTTATTTTGTTATTACCTTTTGTCTTTGAAATGATTTAACAAATTTCAAAATGCCCCTGAAGTGAAAAAACTGTCTTGGGGCCAAATCCTGGCCGTGTCTGGAGACCGGTGATTAAGCTAAAGTTATGAAATTATAAGAAATGCAGATAGGTACTGCCGGAAAGGAAGACACATAAATGATACGTCAGAACAGGCACAACAGTGCAGAAATAGAGGACAATTTTGAACCGCAAGAGGCGACTAGATCGTACGTGTAACAGCTATGAAAAGCGAAACAGTGCAGGAATAAAAGTCATCCGCACTATCAGAGGCGGCCATCGTTCTCATAGATAAAAAGCGTATGATTAAAGCGTATCAGTACAGTTATAATTAAACTGTACCACCAGATACGAACGGGCGCAACGGTACACTGTATAAAGTCTACACCAAACGTTGCGACCGCTCAGGCGAATTTAGAGTTGCGTCGTACGGCAAAGAGAATGTTGGATGGTGTGCCATAAGTTTTAGGGAGGGAGCGGGGGGATTTTTTTCAAAAGAAATATCCAGAGTGAGATCAGACGAGCTTTCATGTGCTCTGGATGGAATGACGGTTTCTTACGGATATGTTTGTTTGTGAGGCCACGTCAGCTTGGCCAACAAGAGTGCGTAACGTTTTCGAGAAAGAGTTTCGTGGGTATGCCGACCCTGGTGAAGGCGGGGAGAGGGCTCTACGTAGCGCGGCGAGCGCACGGAATGCCGGTCGGCCAACGGCGAGCGAAGGTTCAGCTCGAAACTAGTGACAAAAGTCACGTCGGCCCTACGTGTCAGGGACGCAAACAGATCCTGACAAAGGGTGTTCAATGGAAAAGGACAGAGAAATTCCGGAGAGAAAGTCTCGGAATTTTTTTAGAAGAAATATCCAGAGTGAGATCAGACCATGGGCGATAGGCCACCGAGTTTTTGTTGAGATCGCTGTTGCTTTGTTTTATGAACACTCGTATAATACTGTGCACTCCGTACAAGCTTAAGATTCCCGATAATCATACACTGAACACAAACACTATGAACACGGTCCGTTGAAAGGATCCGAAGAGTCATGAACTCAACACATAACACCGTGAACACTGTCCGTCGAAAGATTCCCGAGAATCATACACTCATCGCATAACACCGTGAACACGGTCCGTTGAAAAATTTCCCTAGAATTCTCTGTACAATGAACCATACATATATAATACATACTGCTGGGTACTTGGTCCGCTGAATCATACAATAAAAAGCACACTCATTACTCAGCTGTTACATCGGCGTTCAGGGTAGCGCAAAGACCGACGGGAATAGAACAGGTTTCGCAAACTCGAATGCGTTCGCAAAACCGCTGCTCGACTCGATAGAACCCCAAGCCGGGGCTAGCGCTAGCGCTAGCGGTGATAACTTCAAAAAGATGACAGGGTAGGAAACACCTACCCGTGAACTGCGTTACCAACTGGGGTGGCATCAAAAATGTGACTTAGAATCACGTTCGGTGTGAAGTCCCTGCCTCCCCAGACTCAGAAAACAACGATATAGTACATTTTAGAGATATTGGGCACAACTACACTTTCCAAATCTCATGCCTGGGAAACATATGTAGAACTGAAAACATGTCGGTGGGGTTTGTGGACGTGTTTAGAGTACATTTACACATAGCATGTCAAGACTCTTGTCGGGTGATGTAGCCAGTTGTGTGCGTTTACATTTTAGAACCGCGCGGAAAATGTGGGCCTATCGTGCGTCTGATTGGCTAGCGATGATGTCATTGACCTGTACAGCAGCGACCTGGTAACGCAGTTCGCCGGAAATTGGACTTTACAAAATGCTTCATATCTTCTTTAAAATATGGTATCATACCCCCAAAAAGTTTACATGGCTACTTAGTTACCCCTTGATTATAGATAGTATCAAGACTTTTTATTTTCCTTATTACATTTCGCAGAAAATAGGGTCTTTTGAAATGGCATTTCGTCACCTAAGTGTATACTAGTACTAAGTACCTAACCAAGATGAGCGTTCGGAAGTCGCTGTTCGGCTCTCGGCAATCTTCGGGAGACTTCGGTATCTGTTCGTATGGTTCTTTGGAATCCTCATCAGTTTGTGACCGTGTTCAGTGTACGTATGATTCTAGGGAACCTTTCAACGGGCCGTGTTCACGGTGTTATCACAGGCGCTAGGCCACCGAGTTTTTGTTGAGATCTAACAATACATGTAACGTTACATTGTTTTGTAAACCATTAAATAAAATCCTTATTATTGTTTCGCGCATGTTAGAACATACACTGTGTCTACTCATTCAGCCCGTTGCCATCACAATTCAGTGGTCCGTTGAAATATTCCCAAAAATCATACAGTCACATAACACCGTGAACACGGCCCGTTGAAAGATTCCCGAGAATCATGCGTACACTGAACACGGTCACAAACTGATGAGGATTCCAAAGAACCATACGAACAGATACCGAAGTCTCCCGAAGATTGCCGAGAGCCGAACAGCGACTTCCGAACGCTTCATCTTGGTTAGGTACTTAGTACTAGTATACACTAGGTGCGAAATGCCATTTCAAAAGACCCTATTTTCTGCGAAATTTCACAAGGAAAATAAAAGTCTTGATACTATCTATAATCAAGGGGTAACTAAGTAGCCATGTAAACTTTTTGGGGGTATGATACCATATTTTAAAGAAGATATGAAGCATTTTGTAAAGTCCAATTTCCGGCGAACTGCGTTACCAGGTCGCTGCTGTACAGGTCAATGACATCATCGCTAGCCAATCAGACGCACGATAGGCCCACATTTCCCGCGCGGTTCTAAAATGTAAACGCACACAACTGGCTACATCACCCGACAAGAGTCTTGACATGCTATGTGTAAATGTACTCTAAACACGTCCACAAACCCCACCGACATGTTTTCAGTTCTACATATGTTTCCCAGGCATGAGATTTGGAAAGTGTAGTTGTGCCCAATATCTCTAAAATGTACTATATCGTTGTTTTCTGAGTCTGGGGAGGCAGGGACTTCACACCGAACGTGATTCTAAGTCACATTTTTGCTGCCACCCCAGTTGGTAACGCAGTTCACGGGTAGGTATTTCCTACCCTGTCATCTTTTTGAAGTTATCACCGCTAGCGCTAGCGCTAGCCCCGGCTTGGGGTTCTATCGAGTCGAGCAGCGGTTTTGCGAACGCATTCGAGTTTGCGAAACCTGTTCTATTCCCGTCGGTCTTTGCGCTACCCTGAACGCCGATGTAACAGCTGAGTAATGAGTGTGCTTTTTATTGTATGATTCAGCGGACCAAGTACCCAGCAGTATGTATTATATATGTATGGTTCATTGTACAGAGAATTCTAGGGAAATTTTTCAACGGACCGTGTTCACGGTGTTATGCGATGAGTGTATGATTCTCGGGAATCTTTCGACGGACAGTGTTCACGGTGTTATGTGTTGAGTTCATGACTCTTCGGATCCTTTCAACGGACCGTGTTCATAGTGTTTGTGTTCAGTGTATGATTATCGGGAATCTTAAGCTTGTACGGAGTGCACAGTATACGAGTGTTCATAAAACAAAGCAACAGCGATCTCAACAAAAACTCGGTGGCCTATCGCCCATGGTGTTATGTGTTATGTGACTGTATGATTTTTGGGAATATTTCAACGGACCACTGTATTGTGATGGCAACGGGCTGAATGAGTAGACACAGTGTATGTTCTAACATGCGCGAAACAATAATAAGGATTTTATTTAATGGTTTACAAAACAATGTAACGTTACATGTATTGTTAGATCTCAACAAAAACTCGGTGGCCTAGCGCCTGTGCTCTGGATGGAATGACGGTTTTCTTATGCTGAGGTCACAATTCCCACACGGGACCCAGCCGGGCAGCTTTTGGGAACGAAATATACGATATAACAGACAACAAAGCACGGAAAAGTTGTTAATAACAATCATGGGCACTATTTCTGTATATTCTTGATATGAATTGTTAAGTTTTCGTTCATACAAACAGCCCGACCGGGCCCCGGATTGGAAATGAGACCGGATATGTTTATTTGTGAGGTCACGTCAGCTTGGCAGCCAGAGTGCGTAACGTTTTCGAGAATGAAATCCATCTGGGTTGGATGATTTGGCTGGGAGAAGGGGCCGGTCACGATTTTGCTGAGCGCATTTAGCAGTTATGTTCATCTGGGCTGAATTTTTGGCCTGGGCCTCGTTTCCTCTCAAAACCCCATTTCTCGAGTCGGTCTTCTACAAAACATTAAAACCGAAATGTTTAATGTTTTGTAAAGCTTTATGTTCTTTATAATATGATAATATTTATGTAGCAGTTGTGTGACTGCTTGGCAAATGTCGTATTTTTATGGGCACGAGCCGCCGCTAGCTACCTAGGACCACCTAGTGACCCTCTTCTCAGCGCCATCATTATTATTGGCGAAATTCTGTTTTTTGACAAAACGATAAATAACTGTGTAGAAATATACTGTGCATGCAAATAACACCTGTGTGCAGTTGTTATGATTGATTAGCATAGTCAGTGGCGACAAACACGGCGTACTTTTGCTTAATAAGATCAGTAACCCCCCATTATAGTTTGCTTACACTTTTTACCTTTAGGCAAAACCTTTGATTTGAACTTTCAAATCGATACCCTGACGTAGATATTGTTAATAAAGACCTTATACAAGGATACACAAGACAGGATGCTAGGAACTAAAATGACAACAAACATCATAAAATGATAAACCAGGGGGGTTTGAAACCCGAATGGCTCGGAGAACAATAACGGTAGTCGACAGGGAGTGATTTGCACATGAACTGACGTCAGTTTTTAACAACACAAAATAAAAATTGACCCAGGTAGTAGCAAAGCCAAACACCACCCATGTC